ACGCCGTCAGCACCACCATACGAATGACACCGCCAGAGCCGCCATCCCACTTGATCGCCTCGCGCAGCGCGCCCTTGACGAATTTTGACGGCCTCCTTCTCCTCCATGCTCTCCTGCCAGTTGGCGTCGCAGTAGCCGTAGATGTATGTCGAGCCTGAGCCGCCGATGGCGTAGGACTGCTTGTGAAGCGATCCGCCGAGGGGGATCGAGTAGACCTGACCGCCGTGACGCTCATCCCAGCCCGCAATGATGAGGCCCGCCCTATTGTCGACCGTGTTAGCCATGCCTTCTGCGGCCACTTTGCAAACCATGTGCGGTGCCCACCGGCCCCCTCACGAAGGACAACTCACGATAGGCGGTCCTTGTTGGAATAGCAAATCTCCTGGAAAATGGACGCCGCCGTCTGCGTCATGGGCGGCTTGCGGTTGCGCATGGGGTACATGCCGAGCTGGTACTGCACGATATCCGCGACGGCCTGCGTGTCGGCCGACGAGACGGAGCGGCAGCACCATATTGTGTCGTGGACTCGCGTCAGCTTGTCGGTTACTCGGTTGGCGATGTATGAGCCCGTGGTTGTTCGTGAGTCGGCGCCTGCATGTGGAGGGGTACTGTCAGCTCTCAAGTCCCTCGTAGTCCCGCACACGTATATAGCTGTCGCAGCTTTGCCGTGAGAGTGTTCTGCGTACCGAGAATGACGCCGTCCTTGAATGTGACTGCCATGCTGCGAGGAAATGTCAGAATTGTTGAGCGCGGGTCGAGGACGTGGAGGATCGTACATGGAGGTACCCAGGCTGTGGAGAGGTTAGCATAGAACCTACAGTTAGAGGAACCTTAGCAGACTCACTTGACCTCGCCCTTCTTCAGTCTATCCATGTCGACGTGGATGCCATCTGTAATCCTCACGTATCAGCTTCCATGTTCGACGCCTTGCTTCGAGAGGGGAGCTCCAAACGGACGGACCTTCATTGAGCGAGCCAGTAGTGGTGAAATCCATTGTGGGCGAGCTTCGGGTTTTCGGAATGTATATATGTAATGCGTGTCTGGTGCAGATTAAGTCGCTTTGAATGGATCGTGGGTGATGGGCTGAAGGGTCGTCGTTGAATGAACCGGCGCAGGAAGGCTGGAGCTCGATGATGGAAGCTCAGGCAGCTCCGACGCGTTGGCCTTGCGTCGCAGGGCGGCATTGGAGGTCACGTGGATCTGTCCCCAGCTGCCGCCAGCTGCCCCACCAGAACCCCCCGATGTCCCGAGAAAGCCACATCTTGACTTGCGTACTAAAGCTCGAGACATGCCTGCGGGCTGATCGCTTTCGAGCTGATCTTTCGTTTAGGTTACACATGCGTGAGTGAGGATTCTGACTGGTTTCCTTGCTCTTGGTCAACGCACATCTACGAGACCCTCCGATGTCACAGCCTTGGTGTCGCCGAGGAGCTCGCTGTTATGTCAAGAACACACCATCAGAACACAAACGTGTAATGCTTGTGCATTTGTCTCTTTGGAATTGTCACCAGATGTTCTTATATATCCTCGCTCTAAATAACCATGACCCACTATGCTTTACTATCGTCCCCTCGTAATTCGACTCCTTCTCCCCCCTCCTTTTTCTTCTTGTCCTCATCGCCGCATCCGCAGTCGTAAAAGTCGCCAATGTTCGCGCAATCGAACAGGTCCTTCTCCAGCCTTGTGTTGACCTCGTTGTGGACGAAGCATAGCCAGCCCGCGGCTGCTGTGCGGCTGCTGACCTGAGGCGGGTACTTGGCGATGAGCTTCTGGAAGTGCGACGCGCAATCGCCGCAGGGGTAGAGGCGCGAGAACAGTGTGATGAACGTCTTGAGGGTGAGACTTTCTTCGGGGCTCGGCTTGTCGGGGAAGCGGCCCATCATGGTGTGGAGGAACTTCCAAGAGGCGCGACCGAGCTCAGCCCTGTGAACGGTAGGTGTCAGTCTTGCACTTGGCTAACAGGATGCGAGGGGGGTGCTGATCACAGCATCTTGTGGGAGGAGGCTGCAACCCGCGGGGTAACGTACTTGGCCGTCGCATTCTCGAGCTTGGGCGCGATAGAACCGCCAACAAGAATATTGCTGTCGATGGCGCCAATGTCGAATGCCGCTGCGGGAGTCGAGTCTTTGGCCAGCGGCGCCGGGGCCGATTGGGAGCTGGTGCCGTCACTGATCCCAGATGAGAACAGGTACGAGACGCTGAAGAAGGCCACGATGGCCAGGACGACAATCGCCGAGAGATGCTGTCTGCGCGCCATGGTGATAATGATGTTGCGTGCGGATACCTTGGTGTTGCGAGAGACCAGGGAGTGTAGAGAGGGCACACGAGGTCCCGAAGCAAGTTGACCAAAAGACAGACAAAGATGATCGCTCCAAGACACAAAGAGATCGGCAGATACGACCACCATGTGCCATTCACGACCCCTTCCCGTTAATCGAAGTGAAAGGGGCGCTGGCGGAGGCTGCTGTCGGCCCACGGTGGGCCAATAGTGGGCTGGTCCCTGAGTGGGGTTAGGGGAAGAGCAAGTTGCTTCTCCGCCAATGGGCTGAATAGAATAGCGCCACCATCGTCGCGGGAAAATGGGAGATAAGATAAGAGCTTGAAGCATAGCATCACCAGTTTGGCGAAGCCATCATGAGAGTCTGGTTATACCTGTTCCTCTTCTTGCTCTTTTCCTCAGTTCATGGCGCGAACTTTCAAACTTCATGTCTCCTACCATGCTATTTCGTTTCTGTAACGAGTCTCCTCCTCGCTTTTGAATCGCACTCATGTCTTTCTACGTCTGATACAGCATTTTGCCGTCTCCAGGATGATGCCCTGCATCATGGCCAAATCAATATCCGACGCCGTATCGTGCTGTCCCAGGCTGTCCCAAATGACGGAACTCGTCCACTCGTAAAATTTATCGAGTCTCTCGCGGATACTCTGCTTCGCTTCTCGGTAGGCTGCATTCGCGGCATATGCCTGCTTCATGGCCGACTTCTGTGCTTCTTTCCACCATCGGTTCTTCCGGTCGGCTGCCTGCTTCGTTGATGATCCTCCAGCGCCACGAACCTCCTAAACGCGATGCTCTTGATGACTTGACGTAGAGCGACTCGGACCCGGGCGATAGTCGGACAGGGAAAGGGTCTTGCTACGATCGAAGCTGAAAGTCGTCTCAACATTGACCTTGGTCAGGTAATTTTCAGAGCTGCTGCTGCTTGCCATCAGCATCTTTCCCCACGTATCCAACTCAAAGCTTCATCTTACAGCGAGTCTCTGTTCCTTTTACCCGAAGACGGCTGCACTGCCATTGCTTCTGGACCGAGGGCACTGCTGCACGGGGAATGCAGTGTAAGTTAGCAGATAAGGTCCTTCGAGCAACATATGTCTTGACGGTTGATCGTCAGATATGGAGCTGGAATACAACGGCGGGAGGTTGAAGAAAACCAGGGATTCAGGTGCCGCAGCGTTCGAGGCTCCGCTTTTGGGCCTCGTTCTTATTAGTTCTCTGCACTTGTGAACGACAAGGCTCTTCAATTCAGTATGACATTTAGCAACCGCACCTCCATTACCTTTTTTCGTTATCTGGTACACATAAAGAAGTAACTACAAAGAGGAGCGGAGCGTCGATAACGCAGCGGCCTTGAAGGACAATAGACTATCTCATGCTTATGAACTCTATCGTTCTTCAGCTGCTCTAGATCTAGGTATACTCGCAATCCTACTGTCTTTTGGTGAATGGCCGACACTCAAAACAAACACCTAGAGAACTATTTGTACTTTCTTTTACCCAGGCGTCGTAAATGACCTTCATCGATGCTTTGCTAGTCAAGTCTGCATCGATATCCCCTGCGAAAAGTGCAAGACAACGACACGTCCTCGGGCAATGACTCACTTTCTCGTATTAGCTAGCGCTGATGTTGAAATGCACGTTGCATGTACCTGTCAATATAAAGGTGTTGGAACGTTATGTTGGACACGCAGCCGACCGCTCCCTCATGTCCAGGTAGCCATATTTAATGAGGCACGCTATGAGACGACACTGATCAACCTCGTACGTGATGTCGGCAGTCCCATTCACTGGCCAAGGCAACAACTTGATATTATCGTGGTCCAGGCTGGCACGTTGCCGGGCACCACTTTGCTAGTTGACACAGCTTCGGCCCGGCTGTTCAATGTTCTACTTGGGCAACATCTCATGGACTTTTATGGCATGGTAAGCTATCTTGCTGAAACTGACAGCCGTTGAGACGAGCATGTTTGTTTGGTCGCGTACTGAAGGGTTGTGTATAGTTTGTCCGCAGCGCGAACCGTCTTCTGGCGTTCAGTTCGGAGTGTCGGTTGGAACCTGGGGTTCTTCACATGATTGTCATCAGAGACGCCTTGCCACGAACTCAAAGCTCCATGGGGGTGTCTATCAAGGAGTGCTTTCCACCTTGAGGTGCTTGACTCCTTTTGCAACCGTAATGACCTTGGCCAACAGTCGAACATACTTCCCGGTCGACTCTCGAGGTGCTACGAAGATCATTTGCATCATGTGGAGCTGGGTCATGTGGCGATCAGTTCACGACAAATTTTCCAATACTACGAGCCGTGAGTGATGATACCCTGCTTGCCGAGTAGCAAGTGCGCAACCTTGACATTAGCTCCAGGGAGTGAACATGTGTCGCCGCCACTCCCACCGAACTTTCTGCCTGGACTTCACATCTTTCAGCTAGCTGGCTTCGGAGTGACTCCCTCACAATAGGCTCAATTTTACTTCTCACCGTTCGCGTGAACGTGACAACGGTTTCTGTTCCGTCGACGCCGTCAAAGTAGAAATTACCGCAATCTGGTTTAATCGGATGGGCTGGCCATCCTGGGCAACCATGAGCGCGCAGATGCAATGCCGCGAGTTTCCCCAGTAATTGTCTCATACAAGTGTTCGTACAGCTCGGCTGGGCCTGCTGGATATAAGACCTCAAACGCTGAGAAGAGGCACTCTGAGCAAAATCTACTTTGGAGCTGGACAATGTTGGGTCCTCACTACGCGATGGCGGCTGCTTTCTGTTTAAAGTCGAATCGAGAATGAGATATCAGCACATGGCACCCGAATCATCCGTTATTCGAGGCGTCTGCACCATTTTCGATAATGATTGGGGGTTCAGCCGTATATCTTCCTTCGATAAAGAAACTAGTTCCACAAGTACATCTGGCCAGCGCACGTTAGGTATGGATCAATTCCGGCCCTAAAGGCATATATATCGATCAAGTCAGTGACCGAACCGGCTAGCGCGTGGCTGGTAACAAGATTGGTTGTATTTACAAGACAGTCCCGGGGCCTCGAGCTTCAAACAGCCTGGTCTCAAATTAAAGAATTTATCAAAGTAGTTCTGCCTGCCATCCATGCTACGCCTTGCCCCCTGTTTCTAGGGCCGAAAGTTTTGTACATGAAAGGGAACCCAAACTCATCATCGGCCTTTATGGCCTCGGCGTACCCGTTACTTTTGTTGTTAATGGGCCACCCGTTGTAGGGAAGTCTACCGGAAGCGTCGTCGCGTACAGATCAAACATCTTCGGTCCACCACAACAGTTGTCCGTCTTGGTTGTCACGGTGGTGGTGCCGCTCGTCGTGTAGGTCAGCACACTGCCGTAGCAGTAGTTTGTGCAGGCGCGGGTGCCGATCAGAGACGTGACTGCACTGCCCTTGAAGTCAAAGGTATTGCCAGCGTAGCACTCGTGATGGTACTCGATGAAGACGTAGGCCGGTGCGGCAGTGGGGGTTGGGGCGTTGGAGGCACGTTGGCGTGCGAAGTCGAAACAGAGTTCGGGCGTGACGCTGCGGTTGGACAGCAGGTGAGGCAGGGCATGGCCAGAATTTGTGTCCTGGAAGCAGCCAACGTAATAGTAACCGTTGGTGGGGGTTGCCGTGGGGCCGGAAGACGAGCTTTCGATCGTGCTAGTGAAGAAGCTGGAGACTGAAGTCTCAGCGGAGACGCTGGGAACGCTGAGGAAGGACGAGGTAGGGACGTCGACAATAGTGCTCGATTCAGCAATCGTGCTAGATTCGGGAATGCTAGACTGAATAGTGCTTGATTCTTCAACCGAACTGACAACCTGGGAAGAGGCGGACGTTTCAGACGAAACGGATTCGGAGCTAGCCGAAGGTTCGATGCTTGAGATAGTCTCTACGCTCGAGACGGCAGCGGAAGAAGTAGGCGCCTGGGAGGAGATGGGCGCCGGAGAGGAAGTAGGAGCCTCGGAAGAGACTGCCGCCACAGAGGAGGCAGCAGGTTCCGAAGAAGAAGGCGTGTCAGATGAAACAGGGGCGATGGATGTCACTGACGGCTCCGCGGAAACGGGTGTCTCTGAGGAGACTGGCAGTTCTGATGATGTGGGCTCAGCACTGGACACAGGGGCTTCGCCGGAAATGACACCGGAGGCCACAGTCGAGGCGACCTCAGTTGATGAAGGGACGCTAGGAGGCTCAGAAGTCGCTGGAACGGTTGTCGGAGATTCGACGGTGGTGGATGGCGAGCCGGAGCCGGGCTCAAGACGGTAGAGGTCCAAGCGGCTACCGGCACCACAGTATTGCAGCTGGGAAGCGTTAGCAAGTTCACGATTTGCATGTCGGTTAGGAGGTCTTACGCTATTGCCCTGCAGAGAGTACTGCACTGCGTGACGGCGGCGGGGGACGGACCCAGCGTTGATCGTGTTTCCCGCAGTAGCACTCTCGCCCATACTCAACACCCATGTAAAGGAAAGTTGTCAACCGCGCAGAATGCTGCGCAAGAGTCGACAGACAAGGTGTCGGAGGCAAAGCTCTTGCCTGAAAGGGCGCGGCCAGTTGTAGCCTCGGTCTGGCAACCTTCCCATTGGTAGTCGAGAACCTGCTGAACGTGCTCAGGGCCTGCTGGGGGCGTGTGGACCTCGACATTGCGGAAGACGGACAGCTTGCGCCAGCCACCGCAAAGACCGTTGGATGAACCGATGCAGGCACTGGAACAGTCAGATTCGGGGGCGCGAAGAGTAGCTGCGTCGAGAGACCAGCCACAGAAGCACTCCCGGCCATATGTGAGACCGAAGTAGTTGTGTGGCTTTCCGTTGCCGCTGCAGAAAGCACCGCATTTCTCGAGAGTCATGTCGTCGGACGCTGTCTGGGATGCACCGAGCGTACGAACGTTATTTACCAGGTCGCTAAAGCAGCCCGCGTACTCCCACTCATTGTTCACGAGAGCGGGCTGGTTGGGGTTTAGAGGCGAGGCGCCGGTAGGGGTAGCGGCGGAGCTAGTGGTAGTGTCAGGTGCGGCAGACGAAATAGGCTCAGCCGAGGACTCGGGCTCATCCGAAGTGGTGGCGCTAGTCACAACGACAGAGGTCGTCACGACGGTAGTCGAGGTGACAGCCGTCGTGACAGCCGTCGTGACAGCCGTGGTAGTGGCGACAGTCGTCGTCGTAGTGCCAGGTGTAGTACCCTGACCAATGGACTCGAGGAAAGCAGCAATGTCAAAGGCGGTCACATCAGCGTACAGACTCATGTGGCCGCCATCACCACCGCAAGCCTGTGTCTCGTCTCCCATGCATCCAAACGTGCATCGGTTCTCGGCAGGGTCGGTGTATGTCTGGGGATACCTAATGTTCTGGGGCGGTCCACCGCACCAGCACTCGCGGCGGTACTGCATGCCGGAGAAGATGAAGCCGCGGTCGCGGCAGAGCTGTGTGCACTGCTGAATGGTATTGGTCAATTGCTGCGCTCCGTCGTTGACCTGCGTCTGCAGGTTGCGGCCCATGCGAGTGTCAGCAAAACAGCCGACGTATTGGTAACGAGCCTCGCCGTTTCCCAGGACGGGGCCGAGTTGGCGGGGCACGATACGAGCCGTGAAGAGAATGTCCTTGAGACCCGCATCCTCGCCAGTGCTCGGGTCAAGTCCGTTCGTCGTCAGAGTCCATGTGCCCCGAATGTTCAGAGCAGGCGTATTAGGTTGGATGGGGCCAGCACGAACGCCTACTGTGCCAATGGCGCAGTCATCAGCCCTAATCTGAAGGCCTTCACCAAGCTCGTGATCGGGGTTCAGGGCTCGAAGCTGCTCGCTGTCGGGGGCCTTCGAGATGGTCACAGTCATGGGCGAGCCGCCACGGTTACAGACGCGAATCTGGGTCTCGGCGGAGCCGCCAGTGGTGACGTCGCCAAAAGGCACGGTATAGTGAGGCGACAGAGAGTTCCAACCACCTTGGCCGTCCGCCACTTCGAACGCTACCACTGGCGGGCTCGCGACGGTGGCCGTGAGCTCAAAGGTCAGCACACCGCCGTCAGACCAGACGGTGACAGTGGAGGTGTACGCGCCTACTTCCAAGTTGACCGCATCGGCATCGAAGAGGAAACCAAGCGAGGTCTCAGCGCCAGCGTCGATCTTGGATCCAATCACGGGGAAGGCAGTTGAAGAGAAACCAGAGCCGAGATCGGAGGGTCCGCTGACATTGTTGTATGCGCCCCCGGCAGTCTGCCAGGCCAGCCCGTCGATTGTCAGGCTGCTGTTGCCGACATTGGCGAGGACGGCAGAGGCAGAAAGGGTAGTCAGACCATCCTGGCGAAGGACGACGGTGCCCAGGGGTACGTTGGTTGAGGGAGAGTGCAGGAACGGGCCTCGGTTGACTACCGTACCCTCAAGCGAGACGATAGACACGGCGGCAAATTGGGCGGGTGCAGTAAGTCCGAGTGTCAGAGATCCACTCACGTAGCCCGGGAAAATGCCGGCCGCGTTGTTTTCAAGATCCCAGGTGACGCCGAACGTGAAGGATGTGCCAGCCGAGATAGTGCCTTTGGGAAGCGTTGAGTCGTTGCAGATGAAAGAGGGGTTGGACACGGAACACCCCTTGATGGCTGTAACAGACGTCTGGGCTGTGCAGCTGACAGTGGCCGAAGTGGCCGAGCCGAGCTCAACAGTGCCAAAATCGACGTCAGAACAGGTAATGGCCTGGTTAACGGATGTTCCGAGGCAGTAGAGCCTGTTCGTTGTGGCTTGATAATACACGCGGCCATCACCGAAGACGGGACGCTGAAACTTGTTGGCACCACGAAGACCGGAGGGCAGCTGAATCGGAACGAGAACACCGTTCTCAGGGATGGCGCGGAACGCGACGAGACCGAGAGTCATGTCGGTTACCCAGACCTGTGGCCGTCAGTATGCGAATGCGTGTTGCGACGCAGGTGAATGAACTTACAATTCCAGTGCCGGGCTGGCCGTTGTCCGATGTCACGGTGACCTGGCCCAAGCCGATACGTGAAGCAGTAGCGGTCCAGGCGGACTGACCAGCAAGCGAGAAGACAGGCCTCCCAGCAGCGTCATGGCCCAGGCGGAAAGCCTTCATTGGCCCACCAATGGTCGCGGAGTAGATGTAACCGCCCTCGAGAGGATAACTGCCAAACGCACCATAGACAGCACCGCCGAGCTCAATGGTCTGGATGGTGTTGTCGCCAGCGCCAGGGCCGTTACGGAAGCCGCCGAGATCGTTGACGTTGAGAAGATAAGCGCGACCTTCTTTGCCGGCAATGATACCCATGCGATCCACGCCAGCGCCCCGGAACACAGACCCATCCAAGAGCGCCAGACCCGAAGAGCCGACGTCGCGGTCGCCGGCATTGAGACCGGAGTAGTCATAGGGTTGAAAATAGTCGACCTGGCGCCATTTGCCCTCGGGCGAGAGCTCCATCCTGACCGTGGAGTGGGATAGGGTCGAGCACGGCGCACGGCCGCTGGCGGGAACGTTGCCGTTGTGCTTGCCCATGCCGTTGGCAGCAACAAAGAATACGGAGCTGCCAATGACGGCGTGGCCGACGCCGCCCTGCCAAATGCCAGCCTTGCCTCCCTGCTCGACGGTAATGTCGAGCGGCTGGGGGTCGGGGCGCCGGGGGCGGACTCGGTGGCCCACATGCTGGTGACGCCAACGCCGGGCTGCTTGCTCACGGCGACCAGATATCCCGTGTAGTTGCCGCGGCCGCAGTGGGAGCCGAAACCAGCAACAATGTGACCGTTCACGTCGGACAGAGCAGGTCGCTGGAGGGCGACGCCGCCGATGATGTAACGGGCGGGATCATTGTCGGCATTGGCGCCATCGATCAAGGTGGGGAATCCTGGAACGTCCTCGAGCGAGGGCAACCGCAGAGCATACATTTTGTAGACGCCGTTGATCTGTCCCGAGGTGAAACCATCGCGGTAGCCCTTTGAGAAGACGTACATGATGCCGGTAGCGGTGTCAATGATGGGAGTGCCAGTAATGCCGATCCAGTTGGGAATGTCACCGCAGTTCGCATCGTCACGGTTGAAGGGGGCTTGCAGCTGTCGTATGCGGATGAGGGAGCCGGTCTTGGCGTCGAAGATGCGGACATTGTTCTTTTCAGAAGAGGTGATGAGCAACTCGGAGCCGCCAGGAGGCGTGTAGACGAGGGGTTTGGCGAGGAACAGCTCCTGATTGTCTTCGGCCTGCCATTCCCAGAGGTTGCGGAAGCCCGAGGTGACGGTGTTGGGGTTCAGGTTGTGGTTGGGCAGATAGCCAGACTGCGAAACGTCGACGTCCTGAGTCGAATCGGTAGGCGCCTTGGAGGTGACGAGGGCCGGCAGGGCCGCTGTAAAAAGGCCGAGAACCCAGCGCATCGCGAAGTGAGGAGAGAGATCAAGAGGCACCTCGGCAACACAAGGGCTGGTGGTTTCAACGAGTGGCGAGATGCGCGGCTACCCGATAAGACAGCAGCACAACAGCATCATGAGGAAGAGGGGAGCAGAGGCGAGCGGCCCGTCGCCGGCAAGGACATGGTGGGCTATTAATGCCCCCATTGAAAGCCAAGCCGCCGCCGGCCGGCCAGAGAGAGATGCAGCTCGATAGCGAGGACGAGACCATCTTACGCAGGCCACAGGCGCAGTCGAGCATGGGTTTGCGCGAGGCTTGAGTGGACTGTGAGCTGACACGCGCCGCCACGTCCCACAGCATTGGGCCAAGCTAGAGTCGAAAATGGTTCGAAGGACATGGGGAAGGAGGAGACAGTTCGGATACCGAGCATGGAGGGCGGCGTCTGTCGATTCAGGTGCCAAGGCGAGGGTAACCGCAGTCGACAAAGTCTCTTTGTCCATTGTCCATGATTACAGCGGAACGGGCGAGTTCTGCAGCCGGACCTAGCAGGATTGGGGGATGTGGTTGTGCCTGGCAAGGGTGCCGTGTCTGGGCTGCATATGCCCAGGCCAGACCAGCGAGAGAGGGGCGGAGACCACGATGGAGGGTGGTATCCACGAAGCAGAGGGGCGGCGTACGTCGTGGTGTGCTGGTGTGTTGTCGTGAACGCAACGCGCCGGCGAGGCTGCAGCGATGCGAAGGTGGTGTTGGCTCCATGATGCCTGGAGCACCGAGGGTGGCCTGCAGGTACATTGTCGTCGATGCAACAGTCCGTCGTCAGATACACGTCGATGAGTACACGTCGATGAGGCTGTCGAGGGGTCGTTTGGTGGAGTTGGTGATGGTACCGAGAGCAGGTGGAGGAGCTGGAGTTGGGGACAAACGGCGACGGAAGAAATTAGAGCCTTGGCCCGCTAACTCCATCAGGCAACTCGACCCCTGAATGCCATGCGCCCATCAGCGGTCTACCTCGTTGACTATTGACTCGGCTAATTGGTACTTGCTCCGTGCCTGTGCCTGTGCCTGTGCCTGTGCCTGTGCCTGTCGTCTTGGCCCCGCCTCCGCCTGCGCCGCGTGTGCTTTAGCGTCCCAGCGCCGATGCTCTAGCGTCTCGCAGCGCCCGGTGTGCCCTGTCGCTCAGTGGCACCTGCTGTCGTGGCCCTGAGGCGGGGGTGGACCAGTGTTCTTGCTGTCCAGGTCCGTCTACAGTCTCTACAGTTGGTAAACTTCCACGTCAGGCGATTGCACTCTCTTGCCTCTGTCTCTCATCAGTGCCATCCGACATTGCCTACACAAACAGATCAACATCTGTTGTCGATCATTGCTCATACGATTTGTGGATCGTCAAGCCGTTGCTGGCGAAAGGCCACACGACACTGACAGATGTGTACATGTACCACACCAACCTCCACGCCCCTGTCTGGCATCGATGCTGATTTCCCAGTAGGATTTTGCCCATATCTTAAAATCCGTCCCTTCCTTCAAGCGTTCATCGGAGCCCACCATCCCATCCCTCCCCTGTCTTCTATATCAGGCATCCTACCACGACCCATGCCATGTGGGCGAACGCCAGCCCGCTGTCACCCCATGGGACAAGATCGCGATGTGATCCAGCGAGCCATCACGCTAACAGCAATCCTCGACCAGGCCGGGCCGATGTCTCATCCGCCGCCATCGACCTAGACTATTGCCTGGAGCTGATTGTGTGCGCACAACGCTCCTTGCCAAACGGCACGGGCACTCGTCTCCTGCCCCTTTAAGACGTCTGCCCTCCAAGGAGCCAGCCGGCAAAAAGGGTGCCCGGGGCTCCGGTCCAGTCCAGACCCCATGATTAGACCCGCGTAGCATCTGGGCATATTTAGCGTGCGCCGTTCATCCGTCGGACTACTTTGGCCGGGACGATGTCTCTGTCTGGACTCTCGAATGGTCCGTCGTCACTCAAGGCCGACGCCCTACAGCGAAAAGTCGTGCTCGCCTGGGATGATCCAGGCCAATGGCTTATTTCTGGTTCATTGGGAGTCACGTCAACGTGGCTGTCGATCATCGATGCGACCATCACCATGTTGTGTCCGAGGTGTGAACCGACAATCCTTGCCTGACAATCACCCACGAGGCACATGGCGGTGATGTACATGTACACGGCATCTTTTGGTCATGCATCAAACTTCTGCACTGTTTAATTGCGCTGCGGACCGTTTGCTCAACAAGCAGACGCTGTTTGCTGGGAACCTAGCAGCGTGATTGTCTTGCCACACTTGACATTCCCGCTGGTTTGGCCTAAACATGAAGTTCACTACACCTCCAAGCAACTGGCGCCCAGCGTGTCGAGACGGAGACCCAGACCCAGACCACACATAGCCAGCAACTTGACCTCATCCCTGCTTTGCCGTTTCTCCATTTCCGCAATAATCGGCATACTGAGACGGTCCCGACACGGGGTTGCCCCACCACTGCATGCTTACTTAGCATATTGCAACGATCGATGGGAAAGAAGCACTTACAGTCGGGAAAGGCGCCTCTTTGCCAGAGCCTCCGGCGACGGCGAACGTCAGGATAAACATCATGACCTTGGCGCCCGCGTCCAGGCCTCCGCCAGCAATGTAGTTGTACTTGCCGAACCACGCCGGATGGCGGAGTCGCATGTACCACTGCGACCACAAGCCGGTGGCGATCTGCGACCAAATGACGGACGTCGTGCCCGATGTCGTCTCGGAGGCGTTGTGGAAGATGACGGGCGCGACGAGCTTGCGGACTTCCCAGCCGCTGATGGTCTTGTACTTGCGTGAAACGAGCCACAGGATGACCGGAATGGCGGCGCCGATGAGGATAGAAAGGGGAATCCTGGGGCTGTCAGAGAGGGCTGGCTACAGTTTCGAAAGAGCATGAGGACTGACCAGCCATAACCGTCCTTATCGAAGCCGTAGACGTATTTCGCAAGAGACCAAGTCACGGCAGTCGTGTTGAGGGATTGAATCTTTCGCCCGCTCCACTGAGAGCCGTCAGCATCATAACGAGACCGGGTCTTGGGTGTCAACTCACGACCTGGTTGCCAAGAGGATCCAGCAAAATTTCCCTGCGGTTTCTGGTGATGGTGTCCATGATAACCTGTTGCACATCAGCCCCAACCCCCAGCAGTGTAAAAATGCCACTCACATAGTTCAATGCGGTGCCGAACAGGCTTCCATATGTCTGAAGCAGGAACATGGTCCTCCAGGGAATCTTCAGATACTGCGCCATCTTGAGATCCGTCGACAGAAAGACGGAAAGCACCGTCACCTCATGACTGAACATGGAGAAATACAAGTTGGCAACGGGCTTACCAGGCTGCAGAACGCCACACAGCATCTTCGACAGGTTGTTCGTCGACACGCTGGTTCCCAGAAGACCGTAGAGACATAGCGAGAAAGGCGCAACGACACAGCCAAGTAGCTGTGTAGTGGTTAGGTCAGTATTAGACGTGGTGCGAGCAACTTACAATGGCAATGACATAGGCCCAAGGGTCCAAAGTTGTGTTACCGTGGATGACGGCTCCTAGACCTAGGAAGAATCCCACGAGAAGAATGGCGACGTACCACCAGATGGGCACGTCTTTGTAGTTGTCTTTCATGACCTTGAAGTGCGGGTCCGTTTCTTCCTTCTTCCAGGCCTGCTTGAGCGAGCGCTTGATGCTAGGTTGTGTCAGACCTCCCATGATGCTCATGCTGAAGAGCGCAACTTACAGAGGACCGTAGAACAGAGAGATATGAGTGATGAGAGCACCGATGGCGGCCATCGCGGCCATGTTGGCCCAGACATTCGTAGCCGTCAGACGGGGCAGGCCGTGTTCTTCCAATGCATCAATATCGAGGATAGCAGTCTGCCCAAATACAGCAGTCTGGTTGTACACCTTTCCAGTCTTCGCATCGAACATTGCTGTCGACATGAATGGATACTTTTTGGCGCCCCAGGCACCACCGTAGTAGAGGCTGAAGCACATAATGTAGCTGAGGAAAATGCCGGCCCATGAGTTCGCCTGCTGCAGAAGCGGGAGGGACATGTATCGCGACGTGATATACTGCCAGTCGAGAGAGAAGTTGAATAGACCTTGGCCTTCGTTGGATGAGATACCGCCGAAGATGGTCATCAGAATCTTCCGCGTTGGCGGAGCAGCATTCATTGAGGCGAGACAAGGGATGGAAATGCCATTGAGCCACGGCCAGATGTAGGAGGCGAAGGGCTCCCAGATGAACATGGCAATCGAGGTCAGACTGAACATCTTCAGACGCTGGTGGTTGGAACCCTCTGATTCGCGGTGGAAGGTCTGGTAGATTGAGACCATTGGGAGGCACTGCCACCAGACCATCTCGCTGGCTGGAATGTGTTAGAAAAGGCTTGGCTGCAGAGGGCATGAAACGTACGGTGCACAATAATGGACCGAAGTAGACCAACAAGGCCGTAGCCAAAGATGGAGGCTGAGAACACGGTGAGGATGGCGGTCGTAGCGTCGGTCTCGCGATCGTAGAAACTGAACGGCAATCAGAACAGGTTCATCTGCTAGGGTTCGTCGTACACTAACAGTCTCTCTGCACCAAACACCTGTACAATCGCTGCTCCGTTGCCACTGGACGTGGAGAGGATGGAAGAAATAGCATGCTCTTTGAGGCCAAAGTGACCAGGGTTGATGAAGTGAACCACCGGACCCAGCCATTTTGCCTGTGATGGAAGAAACTTCTCGACGTGGTGACGGCGCGGAAGGACAACCGACCAAGTGACACCGATGACATAGGCCATGAGGCAGAGAAATCTGGCAGCGTGAGCGTTCTCATTTATCCTCCCCGATACGGACAACTTACACAGAAGCGAACGACACATCAACTGGCTTGTAAAAGTAGCTGTTTCATGTTAGATTAGCTTAGTAAATGCAAAAGGTTTGTATAAACAAACATTTGGTTTATACAAGCAGCAAGAGCCGTCAAGCCTTGTTCGAGTCAGCATCGATAGATTAAATGGGCACATTGGAACGAACCGGATCCAATGATGAATGACCGAAATGTGAGAACTTGATCTCCGTCATCTTGGGTCGACACCACATATCTTGCGACATCGTTGCCTGCGAAGGGTTAACATCTTCGTAGTCGATAGAAAAGGCGGTAACCCGCAGCCATAAATTCAACATACCATCCCGAATGACAACTCCACCATTCACAAGCCTTGCCTCGTCGTCGCGCTGATCCTCGGGATCTATCTTGTTGACCGACCGATCGTCATTTTCGACTGACGTCTCGTGCACGGGAGATGGCCCTGTTGCTTTGGCCGACGTATCTCCAGATGTGATGGGAGAAAGTCGGCCAGCTGGGCCAACAGATATGGCGGTTGTCTTCGCGATATCCATGACTCGAGTCGTGCAAGAGGGTTTCGCACTGGATTGTTTGTCTTTCACAGTTGCACAACGCAAGAAAAATGAGGCAGATCAGATAGACTACTCGCTATTCTATATGAACCGAGCTACCAATGTAACTGTCGCCCAGCACCCGATGTCGCTGCGGTAATATCGTCTCTTGCCCGACAAAGCTCAACTGACCTACACACGCAACAACCCGAGTGTCTTGCTTGCTGCCTCGGAGAAACTCTCTTGATATGGTGAGCGTCGGGATACGTGCGACCCTAGGCTTTGCGGACTTCCAAAAGTCTGCATGGCGCCATCAGTACGGACGTTTTGCACATCAACAAGCTTCTCCTGTCCAGTCGGCGCAGAGGGAGAGTGCCGGTGTGGGCACCGCGATGTCCGGTCATCGGTAAAGAGGTGGGGAGTTAGTGGGCCGGCCCTATGACGAGTGTCCGGGTGACGATGGCGCCATGATGGGTTAAGCATCCGCCGTTGACTTTCGACAGTGTGCCCAAATTCACGGCGCCGGTGTTATCAGCTGTGAATTTTTCACAGCTGGAGAACTCTTCACCAACTGAAATAACTCATTGACGCCAGTTTCGCAATTTGTTCGAGCTCAGATCACAACGCCATAGTTTGACTTGCTTGACCTCATCACTTCGTTGCCTCATCATCTCAGACAAGGCTGAACAAACGCTCGGAAATGGTGGTGTCTAACAGTATGCATCAGGGTGATATGATTGGCAAGCCGCAGATGACTCGAAAAGCTTCAACGAAATGAAGGGGTCTCTAAGAGCTCAGAGCTCAGATGTGGGCTGTCATACGGCTCGTTGTACTTGTTGTAGCCACACGCGGACGGTTTGGTAAGTTGAGGCAAGGTCAAGCGTGGCTACCAATGTGTATGGTTTACAGATCTTGAAAAGTCTAAACCGACCAGCCGAAGCTTTGGGGCAGACATGGGCATCGAGAACGACACGTGACTTCGCTTAAACTGTGACGGTTGTTGGGGGTTGTGTTTGACCTTGTGAGTCCTAACCTTATTGACGCCAACCTCGCAGGTCACGGTGCACTTGACAGTCAACAGGCCATCTAG